CCGCGGTGCAGCTGGGTCTGCGCAACCCGCTAATCCTCGCTAACAGGCAGTAAATTATGTACCTCCAAATTTATACAAATGCCTGCCTTTGACATCAGTGGGCACCACCCAGGTTTCACCTTCAGGATTCAGATAATCAGCTCTCATTCCTACCGGCTTCCCTCAAGACCAGTATGGAAATAAGGATGTGTCTGCCAGGGATCAAATGCTTTTGGAGACAAAAGTAGGTACTGAAAACATTACAGGATACTATCATCTCCCCATGATACTTTTACACAAAGCGCTCTGTTCCTCTTTTGGCCTGACATAGTTTCAGCCTGACAGAATCCAGCAGGCCTGCTTGTTTTAAACAAGAGCACATCCTATTATTTTTTTGAGAAATGAAGTGTAAAATTAATGCTTATTATTTTGAGCTCAGGAAAAAAAAAAGGGCAAGAAACCCAAGATTCTCGTTTGCTGTGCGTTGCTTGTTTAGTCCTGTAATCAATTGATCCCCACACAGATACACTTATGGAGAAATGGGAGAAGATCTAGCACAGCAAGCCGTAAAAATCTGCATTTTATTTTACAAATGAGAGGGGCTGCATAATTCACATGAGTTATGTAGGTCTCATAGATGCTTGTCATGTTTAAAAAAAAAAAAAGGGCGGGGGGAATAAAAATGAGGGAAATGATTATATGTTTTCTGTTGCTAACACCCAGCGCCACACGTTTGACTGGAGCGTTGGCTGTCATGCTGCATTGTCAAAAAGCTGCCTTGCATGTACCTATATGATCCTATATAATTCAAGGAATTATTCTCCAAAGGTGACTGAGTATCCCTATACATGCGCCGTGTTTCTGTGTAAAATAATATGCTGTAAAATGCCATAGAGGAGAGAGTGATTATAGCAGCAATTCTATCTATATCTTTGGGCATTTTCATATTTTGAATACACATGCATGAAAAGAGAAACGTTTGTCATGCTAACCATGGTACTTTTTTCCCCCTTTTTTCTTCCTGGATGGTTTTATAGACACAAGAAATACATAATGGACTCCTGTGGGAGTGGAATAAAAACCCCCACCGGTGAGGAGAAGGCCTTATAATTCAGAAGTGGATTTGCAAATCAAAAGGTCTTGCCTCGAGTGGGATAAATTTCCAGATCTGCAGGAACCCATTATGTTTTATTATTTTTCATTCGAGTTTTAGTTTGTTTGTTATGGGTTTAACTATTTAAAATACTGCAGGGATCAGCCACGAAAATACACAATCTCCGTTACCTAATTAAACATACCAAGCTGGTAAGAATATACATCAATTGAAATGCTGAGCATTGTGGTTTGGGTTTTTTTTCACTTTTACTGAAATTATAGGTATTTAGGCTGCAAAAGGAGCAGTCGTCTAATCAGCAGTATGTGTCTATCTGTATTTATGAACACACGTGCTCACACAGGACCATAGGCTGTACATGAATCACTGTTTTCCAAATACCCAGTATACGGAGGGTAGAAAATTAATGTCAAACGTGATTTCTCTGATTTACTTGTAGAAGGAATTTGTTCCATTCTCCCCAGTACCTGCTTTGTCCTCTCCAGGTTTATTGCAGCGTTCAGTTGCTGTACACAGCCACATGGCTGGGCATGCGCAGGATGCTCAGCACAAGGCATGTATCCCTTCCCCATTTTTCCTCCCCTCTGGAGCAGATCGCAAAGATCGCACAAAGCCCAAACTTTTCAGGCAAGGGTCTGATGGGAGAAGTCAGCCTTATGCTACAGCAAGGGGAGAGTGTCAGGTTTTGAAAGCCATCCTTCAGAGAGGGTGATGTGCTCGCCTGTGGTGGCTGCCCAAACAGAGAATTGCAAACCTCTTCGCATCCTAGAAATATCCCAGTCCCCGGTTATGGCTGCCGAGGGAATTTGTGGAGCTGCTGCTGTGGAGCCATCAGCCGTTTCATCTTTCTGTTCCTGACTCTTTCCTCCCCTTCTTTTCCTCTTTTTACCTCCTTCCCAACCCGCCTGTTTACTTCTCCCCACCGCAGCCCCGGTGCCAGCCCTCGCCATCGGCGCCCTGCTCTCGCCCCGCTGCCACTGCTGCTGTGCAGGGCAGAGCACCCAGTGCCGCGCGCCCTTCCAGAGGTGGCACAGGCAGCTCACCACTGGCACGTGCTGCTGCACGAGGCACTGCATGAAGAGGGTTTTTTTTAGATTATTCTTATTTTTCACGCTGCATGGAGGGCCCTTCGAGGCTTGCGTGCTCTGGGAATTGCCTCCAGCTGCAAATGTGCCAAGGCGCAAACGTGCGAGAGCCACCACATGGCCGGGCATGGGCTGTGCCCAGCGGCACGTCCTGCACACAGCCCCGCCACCTAACTCCCTGCCTGGTAAAAGGGCTTTGGGATCCTCGGAGTCCAAAAGGCCTTATAGAAAACAATAATTGCCCTCTGTTAGCCCCTTTAAAGATCTAAAAAGCTAATTTAAAGCGATTGTAAGTAAAGACCATGCTTGTGAAGGCTCGCGTTATTCACAAGATCCAGATGCATTTGGCAAGAGATTAGTTCATTGTATAATGTAGTAATTTCTTAGCTATCTTGGAACTAAAAATTGAAGTAATTGATATTTGAAGATGTAAAAATAAGCTGAGTATACATCAAAAGACAGAATTTCTTTAGTTTTTAAAATAAGTTTTTATGAGAAGTTTGTGTGCTGCCACGGTGAAGGAAAGATGCATTTTCAGGAAGTCTTTACAGAAACCATCCTCAGTTTTTTTAAATTTTAGGTGTTTTCTGATTTATATAAAACTTTACATTAAGTTGTCTAAATTTCCACAACTCACTCCCTCTCTCCTTCCCTCCCTTCAAGAAAACCAAATGATTGTTTAATTTTATGTGTGAAAATTGCTTTAATATGGCTTCAGTACCCCAAAAAAAAGGCTTAACTGCACCCAGAACCACAAACTTCGGTAAACAGAGAAACATACCATCTTACAAAAGTGGTAGGCTTGAAACAATAGTAATAATCATTGTTATTTCCCTATGAGTTCACCTAGAATATAGGAGCATTTAAAATGGGCTGTGTGTATTCAATGCTTAAGATACATGACATGGAAATTACACTTTCAAATGGCATTTAAATACCTTCAGTGGTCTCTTCAGCTTGGAAAAAGCCAAAAGATGTAAAACTAAGGCTGACACTCTGCTCTGGGCTCCTGCTATTCTCCGACAGTTTCCTGTATGTTTCCAGTGTAGTCTGAGGTGAAGATGGCATTTCAGCCTGCTTTCAGTGTTGTTGCTGTTAAATGCATTTTAAATGCTGCTTGACTATATAATAATCTATACCCAGAGCAGGGATGCTCTCCCTTTGGGGCAGGATGCGAGGTGGAGCGGTGCAGTGTTGTCACGAGCCTGGGAGCAGGCGCGGGGGTTCCCGGCGGGTTGATGGCAGCGCCGCTTTCATTGCAGCTGAAAATCAGCGCCGCGCGACGCCATGGGGGCTGTACACCTGAACAGCCCACGCGGCCGGCTCGGCCCGCTTTGCTGGTGAGGCCGGAGCCGCCGCAATGCCTGCGGGTCCTTGGAAGTCGTGCGCGCCGGCACGGGCGTTTCGCGCCGACTGCTGCATCCCCGACGCTAATCTGCTGTGTCACTAACAAGTTGTATCATTTGAACCTTGCAGAGGAAGGCATCAATCATGAGTGCAAGCTGTGTAACCAGATGTTTGACTCTCCAGCAAAGCTCCTGTGTCACCTGATTGAGCACAGCTTTGAGGGGATGGGAGGCACATTCAAATGCCCTGTTTGTTTCACAGGTAAGACAGAGAGGCCAAGACAAGCCTCAGCGTGCATGGCTTGATCCAGAAATGACACTCGGGGGATTTGTAAAATACTGTATTCCTTTCCTTGGGAAAAAGAAATACTGTGCTTGGAAATGTTCAAAATATCGTCTGTCTGAAACTGAGATGCGCTCTGAAGAGCAGCACTCTGGCGTTTGACACCGAGCAGCACTGCCGCATGCAGCGGGCTCTGCATCGCCCCCCACATTTTGAAACCTTTTCACTTGTAGCTTGTGTCTCGAAGGTGCGATGCGCTCCCAAGTGCAGGATTTGCAAGGTGTGGACCTGCTCTTGCAAGCCCTTATTCAGCTGAGTGAGGAGCCCTTGCAGGCCAGGTAGCTCTCAGCCCACTCACGGTGGTGAGGCTCACCTGAATAAAGGTTTGAGAAGACCAAATTATACAACTGTATAGTGTTGCCAGCTGTGTGCTCAGAGGTTTTTTTAAGGCCAGTTTGCTCCTGGTGGCACATTTATAACTCTGGTCTAAGGGCCTGCTACATGTTCCTTCCCTGTACTTCATTTAAGCTGTCTCATCAGTTCAAATGATCTTGGGTAATCTCGATTAAAGGATCTTCAGGATGCATGTTAATGGCTGCCTTTTATGTGCTCCTCCAAACAGTAGTTAACATCTAAGTTGCCAAACTGCTTGAGAGATGTGTGTGACTGTGGACCTGTTGTCAACACCTGCAATTCTTTCAGCTTTGGTGGGAGTATGGGGAACTCACTCTCCTTAGAGTTTGGTCCCCAGTTTGAGAACCTGCTTTTGTGTGAGCTTGGAGTTAATTTATCCTTTTCTGAAATGCGCTGTAAAATAACTCTTTGAGTGCAAGTGTTTGATTCCGCTGAATAAGCTATTTTCACATACTGATGATCATTCATAGAAAATGAGACAAAAATTAAATGAGAAAGATTTTTAACCAGCTAAAGCCTGCAGTTCAATGTTTAACTTCCAAATTTCACGTGATTAAGTCAGAATAATTGTCGATTCAAAATCAGAATGCAGATGCTGTGATATTTGTGATGTTAAATCATTATTTTTATTTTTATTTTTAATACTGAATGGACAACCCATTTAAAAGGTCTAAAAATTGTGACAAGGCTGCCCTTTCAGATTCACGTGCCTGCCAGAAATGCTGTTCTGGGCCACGTGTATTCCAGACCAGCCATCAAGGCTTCTACTGGCCCACTTGTCCTGCATTAAAAATGCATCCGATGCACCTGCCGTGGGCCCAGGGCTCCCCACAGGAGCGGTGACGTCCTCTCTTTGGTCTCATAAATGAGTTCTTCCAGTTACCCGTGGACAGTGTTAGCTTTATGTGAAATATCAAAAATCCATACAGGATTTAGACTCTGTTAGAAGTAAGCTGACTGTCAGCCTGGAGACTCTAAATTGACTACTTGTAAGGACCAAGTGTATCAGAACTTCTCTGGCAGATATCCTTGGACTTTTCAGAGTCTTTGCAATCGTAAAAGTGTAGTTCAAGACAAGATGCCTTACATGAAGCAATCTTAACTAATCGTACTATGTCGTTTCAGTTTTTGTACAGGCAAACAAACTGCAGCAGCACATCTTTGCAGTCCATGGGCAGGAAGATAAAATTTATGACTGTTCCCAGTGCCCACAGAAGTTCTTCTTTCAAACAGAGCTTCAGGTATGTTTACAACATGAGTAAAAGCAAAGCTAAAGCTGTTGATTTCTCTGCCATCACCCTTGTGCAGCATTTAGAAAAGGTGCGTACCTTCAGTATGGTCTCTTCTGCCCTTAAACAGTCTCTCAGTCTCCTTCTGCCTCTCCGGGTGCTATCAAGAGAAAGGGGTCTCTGAGCATGGCTGGAATAAATAAATAAGACAAGACAGATATCATGATTCTTTATGAGTATTTCTCCTGACAGTAGCGTTGCTACATCCTGACATGTCTACGTCAAACACCTTGTAAATAATTTCTTTTTCTCTATTAATAATTTAGGCACTGATTAACATACAAAGACTAAGCAAATGGTATGCTGCCCCCTCCCCTTCCTCACTGTTAAGTCAGAAGTAAAGGAATTTTCCCTGCTGAGGTATGAGCAAAGCGTGGGTGCAGCTCAACACGGTGCTTAATTAGAGGCTCCACCAAGGCACTAGCATGTTAATAAGCTGCAGGTTCTGCAAACCAGGCATTACATGCCAGTTTGCCTGGTGGCACTGGGGGCCACAGCCACAGCAGTTTTAGCCCCCACAAAGCCAGTGCTTGGCCCGCACCCGTTCCCGGGTGCAGCGAGCCTTTCAGAGGGGCTGGACCCTGATCTAGGCACGCTGCTGCAGCTGCTGTCACGGCCTTGGCCCCAGGGGCCACCTCGGAGCCATGCTGGTGAGGCTGGGCTTTCAATCACACTGATACCTTTGGTGCTAAACCCACGTAGATGGTGAAACCTCCGTGGCGTGTGTGCCTGAAACCTGCATGGCATGTGTGCCTGATACCTCGCAGGGAATGGACCGCCAGAGCTGGCCCTTCCAAAGAGCTCGCCGGCAGGTGCCCGCCCTGGCCATCCTCCTCAGGCATATCTTACCTGTGTAACACGGCCACCAAAATACTGCTAACGTCCCCTGGCAAATGCGGTCTTTTTATAGAATGGTGCCGTATGCTTCATTTAAATCTATTAGCTTTATAAACCATGATTTACTTAAACTTTGGAGGGTTTTTATTTATCTTGCTGAATTCCCAAGCTGCTGCCTCTTGTGTCGTGCTGTCATGCTGTGGAAGGATGGTTGATCTTTTCACTTTGTTGATTTTGGTTTTTTTTCCTCCCAGGGGAATCTCCTCTTCCCCTTGTTCTAGCAACCCAATTTGCATAAGTGTACAAAAGTTTTAACTATACCTTGTTAATATTTTAATGAAGTCAGCAGATTTGGGGTTTGTGTGTTCTCACTATGAGCGTTTTATGAAGGCAACAGTGGTGTGCAAAGCCAGCTCTGATTTTTCCTCCCATTTTTCCTTTAAAGTGGTGTTTGGTCAAAATGCCAGCACAATTAAAATGGGCACACTGGCTTCCTAGGTCACTGCATTAACCTTTCAAATCAGATGGTCAAATAAAAAGAACCTTGTTAAATTACAGTCTTAACAGCGGCCCTTTTTTTGCAATTAACAGTTTTAATTACAGAGTGTTTCAATTCTGCAGTGTTGTGCATTGCAAAATTGCTGCAAATAGCAGCTTTAATCAAATAAATTATGATTGTAATTTTCCAGTTTTTATGCAGGATTTGTGTGCATTTAAATTTTCTGTGCTCATAATAATTACACGAGTAGTTTTGAATGGTGTTGGCTGAAGGAAAATTCAATATTAGCTGCACAGTTTTAGGCTTTATTTCAGCAGTGACTCAGAAATGCGTGTTTACTTGATGCCAGGGACTTACTCATTCAAATTCCTGAGCCAAGGAGGACACAAAATGTGTGTGTGTAAATCAGTTAGAAATGCTCAAGACTTTTCAACCAGTCTGCTTTGGCATGATTGTCTCATCAGTTTCTGATGTGTAAGCTGCTTGCTCTAAATTCCTCAACGGTTGGTTATATTTTTGTTGAGTAATGAAGATTTAGTATTATTTTAGTGAACCAGTTGTTCAGCTGCTAGTTAGGGTTAAATCTGCATAAACCTTTCAGTCTCTTAACTGTGCAGTTGTTATTATGTGGGCAAATCACCATCCATCAAGGGGTTTTGCTTGATGAATTTGACTTTTCAGTTCTGATCTTGCTTTCCCACTGGTGTAAAATAACCGGTGTCAAAATCTGAACCTACGCTTTCTTTTACTAGTTTGTATTTTTAAGTGAAACCACTGAAAATACTTTTTAAAAAATTGAGCATTCAACTATTTCAAGAAGAAATTCAGAGTGGGGTGCTTACAGAAAAGCAAGAAAAACAAGGAGGGTGGGGAAAATGACCGGCAGTGCAGGGAAAAGGTAACTTTTATAGATGTCATGGAGTGGCATGAAATAGCCCCGCGGATTTGTGAACATTTCTTTCAAGAGTTAGGGCAAACACCAAGTAAGCCAAGAAGGGCATGTGTGTGCCATGTGATGAGAAACGTTTCTACTGTAAATGTATTTTTAGGACTTGGTGCAAATAGTGTTTCAGCAGCTTAATGCTCTGGAAGCAATCAAAACCCTCTTTTCACTTCTGAACTAGTAGTTGTATTTTAATATAGGTTTATGCTTTGATGTTTACACCATCTGATGGAGCCATAAAACCAAGGCTTAAGAAAGCGCCGAGGAACTGAGCTCATTTTATAAACGGTGGAAATTCTGGTGTGAATCTGGAGCGATGAGTCAGTGAGGTTACCTTGATGATATTGCCAGAAGAAAAGAAAACAATGTTATTTAACTGCTTACATTATCTCATTGGAAATAAGGAAAGAAAACATGGTAAGGTTAAGTATGAAACACAAAGGAAACAGTATGTGTGATAACCCCACGTACCCTTAGGGCAGAAGAGGAAAGGCTGGCAGCTTCGCGTTTTCACATCCTCAGTTTGTGAGATTGACAGCTATGAATATGGTGAAAATCTCCTGGAAAAAAAAATAATTATAGCTAATGTATATTACACCACGGCTATGGTATTTCATTCCCCCCACTGAAACAAGCGTAGAGATGGAGGTTTGGGGGGTTCCTCATGCGTGGGGCAGAAGGAACCCTTTCAAACAGAGCCCCATCTCTAGGACCCGTGTCAGGAGCTGCCGGCCACCGCCAGCAAGCCTGCTTCTCACAGGCAGCCAGAGCGACACAGGGCATCCAGATGTGGGAGATGAGCTAGCTCTTAGACAGCTGAAATTTTGGTCGTTACCATTTAAAACCTAGCAGGGAGCCATGCCAACACCAAAGATGGGTCAGAAATTATGACACATAATGGGTGCTGAGAGTTATATTTGCGGTGTTATTCACAGCTGGGAAATACACCTCCTCAATTGCTTGCATCAAGAATTACATTAAGCGAATTGTGAATGAGCAGTGATTTTCAGAGGAAACTTAAGGAGGATTTTCATAGGTACTCTTTTGCCACACTGCTTTTTCCAAGGAGCCATCGCATAACCAATGAAGTATTTTTATTTAAAGGAATTCCTGCTGTTTGCTTGTGTACTGTTAATCATACCGTTTCCTCCTAAATGATTACAATTGATGCAAACTAAGGCAAGGGATATAATAAACAATGCGCAAATAATCCAGGTACCAAGGGAGAAGGGTACCTGCCAGGTCTTTCCTAGCACAGGTGTTCAGGTGTTTTATTGCCTGCTATGAATAAAGGGCTTTCTTTCCTGTTCAGATTTGGAGATATGTCAAACCACTAAATTGAGGGAGCTTCACCGGAGGAATTTGCTGTCATTTTAAGTGCCCAGTTTCTTTAAACGTACACATATCGAAAGGAGAGTGGCTACTATGGCTCATTGGCTAACACTGTGGTCTGTCTCCCTCCTCATTTCATTTTATGTGAAAAGCTGGCGATTTTCATATATCCATAAACAGGCATGAGCTGCTGCACAGAAATTGCACTCATTATATTAATAATGATTTACCATGAACATCCTCCAGGGGCTTGATTTGGTCCACATCAAAGTCCTTGGGATTCTTTCCGCTGATTACAGCAGATCAAGCCCTAAGCAGGTTTTCTTTTTTTAAGCCTGCTTTTAATGTCAGCTCGATGTTAGATGTATCTCCTACAGAGGGCTGCATCCTGCCCTGGGTAGTGGGGCGCTGCCGCGAGCCACCACATAATCTGATGTGGCCTGATGGGGACGTTAAGATGCTGCTCTGTACACGTGGTGGCTTCCCTGGGAGTGAGGCAATGAGGAGAAACATCTCCAGCTGCTCATGCCAGTGGTCCTTGGGGCCATCTGGGTACCACAGCGTCCCCTGAAGAACGTGGGGAGAATGGGAGTCTCTTGGCTTGTATTGTGACCCACCGGCACCAAGGCGAGTCCTGGGGCTACATCCAAGGGCTCAGTTTACCACCAATGGTCAGAGTACTGAAAAAAAGACTTAAGCAGTTTCTGGTCTGTACCCAGCTATTCAGAATCTTTTAGTGGTTAACGTCTCTAGCTCCTACTTGAAAAATGGGCTTTACCTACTTCCTGGGGGTACAAGAAAGCTTACTTAAATAGGAGTAAAATTTTTCTTCCAAACAGCCCTATGTGCTTGCAGCACTCTGAAATATCTCGGTGCTTCTGGGCTCCAGTGTCCATACAGTCAGTAAGAGAAAAGTAAATCTATGGTATTCTGATGAAGTTGCACAAACTTCTTTTCCCTGGGGGAGTGCGTGGATGGCAGGAAAAATGAGACCTGAAATGCGGCTGCATCTCAAGGCAGTACATAACCTTTGCTGTATTTCAGAACTTACCTATGACTTAGATGTTAAACACCAGGAGGTTCTTGCTGGAAACAAACCACAAGCTCTTTCTGTGTTTCATATGAAGCACCCACAAAATCACATGGCGAGTTAATTTTCTGCAAGTAAAATCCATTTTTTCTTTTAAACAGAACTTATATCTTTGTATTTTGGTTGCTGATAGGCTCTTAAGAGTCTGTTTTCTATCTTCACCCCCCCCTTATTTTTTAAACGTTACTCCTCCTTTAAAATCCCTAAAATGACCTAGTCAATTATCCTAGCAAATTTGGCTAGTGTTTCTT